ATCGTGGAATTCGTATGGTATTATTCTTGGTAGATTGGGTGGGAATTTGTATGCTTGGGTGATGATTATGTTTAGAAAAGCATGATAGCTTATGTGCCGTATGTTTCTTGATTTTGATCCATTAATTGTCTACGTGTGTTATCGATTGCGTTTGAAAGTGTCTAAGCATGGTTCCGGGTTCCATGGTGGTTCCCGGTGCGTTTATTTGTGAAGAAGAATCAGTGGGGGGTAGGTGGGGGTAGGGGACCCGCCACCTACCCGAGGCTAAAAGTGGCATCGCCGGCAGCGGGCAGCTGCCCAGAATAGTTACCGCCGGCGGGTGAACCCTCACCCACCGGCTACCCGCTGGTTTGCACCCCAATTCGGGATTTTGGCTTCCCCGTTTGATGTTCCCCCGACCCCCGTGGTGTCCCAAAGGACTTCGTCTATCGTGCCTATGTCTAGTTTGATATTTCGGGTACCGTTCGTAGGTTGTATGAGTCCTATATATTGCATGCTAGTTGAATTGGTATCCCGTTGACCTAGGTGAAAGAAGTATGAACCCCTTAGGATTATTCTTAGTATGTGAAGGATCACGCATAGGTTTTGTTATACGTTTTCTCCCCCTTCCAAATGTGTTAATGTGGATTGCATGTGCTTGCTATGTGTTATGTGTGCATGATACCCCAATTTGGTTGCGATCAAATTGTCTATACGGGCAGTTGGATGGGTTGAGAACCATACTGACTGTTAACCAGGCCGGTTGCGATCAGTCAGGTATATAAATATTATATAGGGCTGCGGTCCACCGTTCTACATGAGCTGCAGTTCATTTTCCTGGCTGCGGTCAGATGACATACTCTTGGGCTGCGGTCCACTGTTTGGTTGCGATCAAACTATGATGAGCTGCGGTTCATCGGTCGGTTGCGATCGACCCCTCCGTATTGTGAGACGGGGCAGGGTGTTGCGGGGCCGTGTCAGAGCTACATGCGCTGACCCTCATGTATGGGCATGCGATTGGTCCTGTGGCGCCAACAAAGTGTGCTTATGTGATGAGATACGGATGAGTTGTGATTATGAGTATCTTGGGGATGTGACTACGGGATTTACGTTGGGGATTGTTTATGTTGGGTTATGATTATTGATTATGCTCAGCCTTATCTACCTTGCCTGTTGCGAACTATATATGCTTGCTATAACTGCCGTTTGTGCTTAGCTCTATGTGTCGAGTCTATCCCTGTTATAAAAGCTAGAGTTCGTAGGATATATCTTCATGTTTAAAATGGTTTTCGTATATCTATATATATCTCTATATGTATTATATTTCAACGCGTTGGAGTGGGTTACCAGCATCTCTCGCTGAACAGATATATTTGGCTTTCAGGCACGGACGAGTAGATCACTGGAGCACGCTAGAGGTTGGGGCGTAGATTAGATAGTTCTTCCCTTTCGGCCTGCGTGCCATGATTTGTATTGATACTGATTGAGATTGTTAGAACTTAGCCTGTGCACCTGAGTTCTCTAGCTCAGGTGTGACATAACACCCCGTGTCCTTATAAACGTATTTTGAGATTTATAATCATTTACCTTTATTATATTGTCTTTAAAAGTTTTAAAAATCCCGGGGTGTTACACTTCTTCCTAGCTTGCTCGTACAATCCTCTCTGAAGCTGTTGCACGCGATACAGATCGGTGGCACACACGTAAGCGTCCTTAAGAGAACTCGGCCTACTCACTGTCAAAGCTTTTCACGCCTCATAGTTCAGACCGGCCACGAACTTCTCGACTTTAGCGAGCTCTGTAGGCACAAGCATCCTCGCAAAACGTGCCAACTCCAAGAACCTCTTGTGGTATTCAACCACAGACATGGATCCTTGCTGCAGGTGGAGAAACTCTTCATACATGGCGGTGCGCACATGTGCTGGGTAGAACCTCTCGCGCATTCTGTCCTTGAGCGCGGTCCAGTCAAACTCGGGTTCTTCAAGAAGAGCCGGACCTTCACGAACCCACCACAAATCCGCTTCATGGCAAAAGTAAAGCGTTGCCAACTCCACTCTGCTCTCTTCGGGGCAACCCACAACAGTGAAGATCTTGTCAAACACCCGTAGCCACTCTTCCAAGACTACCAGGTCTTCCTCGCCGGCGAAGGTTGGCGGCCGATGTCCCGACACTAAACGGCCTACATCACGGTGCCCGGCAGGGGGAGGAGGCGGCACAGCGTGATTGTTGTTCAACAAAGCTTGACTGAGCGTCTGCATGGTCTGTGTCAGCTGGTGAAGGTTCTGAGCGAGCTGCTCGTTGGTCGGGGTCTCCGGGGTGCGTGCTTAGGGACGAGGAGGCATCGAAACTTCTACAACAACAACAAGGTTACCAAAAGATAGCAAACAAGCAAAGAACAGAAAGCAACACACAGCTCACCGCGCAACCTAGAGTCCTAAGCTTAACACTTAGCTTGTTAAGGTCGCTTAAGGGTCTCAAACAACACTTAGCCACTTAGAAAGTCTAGACTTAACTGTTCCTAGGTTCAAACCTAGGCTCTAATACCAACTGTAACACCCCCCAAAACATGCTATACAAAAAGCCTGAACACATTCAGATATCACAACAAACACTAGCACAGCGGAAGATAAAAACGTAACTGCTTAGACATAAATCCAAAACATGGGGTGTTATGCCACGTTTACCAACAACGATAAATGCTACGGCCAAATCTGCATGGTATACAACTATCCCAAAACTCACAAGTCTAAAACTAAACCGGCTCACAGGCCGTAAGAAAAACGAAAGGAGCTACACTATCGGGCACTAGACATCGCGCTCGTCTAGACATCACCTGAAAGAACACAAATAAACATGGGACGACGCCCGGTCAGCGAATAATGCTGGTAACCCACCAATACATGTGAAATAACATACATAGGTAAGGTATAAACTGTAAAACCATTTTCGAAACGGAGTACATATATATAAGTGTAAAACCAAGAGTCAAAGCCAACATAAGACTCAACACTCTCAACAAACAACACGGGAACACATCCCAAGACCACAAGAACAACACAACTCACAAAAGATTCAAGGCATGATCTATCATCACTTAATAGATCAAAACCCGACAAGTACAACGCAAAAGAATAAGACTTACACAACCGGCAACACATGCCAAGGCAACACATGCCTTTGTGACTACACACGTCACAAGAGAAGAACTCACCACAATGGCTACAATAGCCCTCGTGACATCACCCATCACGAGTTGATATGTCTGCCTTATGCCCGGTTCCAACCTTATGGCTACCCCCAACCTTGTTTCTTCTTTCCAACCATTACCTCCAGGACCCCTGTACTTCTTAGTCCAACCTTTTCCCTCCGGGACCGTCGTCCCCCACCAACGACCACCAACGAGACCACCAATTTCATAGTACACAAGGTACCGTACACACACACGGCGACACACGCCTTCCCAAGAAAATACGTGAACCTGACACATAGGTCACAACTCCATAATCACGTCACGGCCACCACGAGGACCGCTGCAATACCTTGGTGACTAGTGTCCCATATCACTAATCGTGCAATCCAGGTAAAGCCATACACGCATCACACCACAACAGGAATCAATCAACGGATCACAACGAAGATATGAAACCGTACTCAATCAAGGAATGGGTCACAACCCAACAACAACAACGATGAATAACGCAAGTTATCATCAACCAATCGGAAGGTACAAACAACACACATCCTAGCATTTAAACACCGAACTAGCATGCTCATCAAACGGGTAAACCAAAGGTAGTTCTGAAGAACACACAAGACTCATCACGGTTCAACGAAACACAGTATTGAACACTTAGCACGATTCAAGACACCAAAGTCCTACATGGATACCTACCACATAGTTCTAGACATACGAAACATCAAGAAGACACTCAAATAGTTCCACAAAAGAACATCGGGAAGTCAAAAGACCAAATACCGAGTCAAAAGAATCACGGGGAACAAATCCCATTACAACACCGAAGTGTTCCTCGCGGGTAGACCCACGGGTAGGCCCCTACCTATGGTTCCGCCCGCGGGGACACTACCCACGAGGCCAATGTACCTGCAGGTGGGCGGCGGGTTGGGCTCTGCCCGTCGTTCCGCCCGCGGGTACATCCCTGTGTCCAAAACAATCCCTTCGGGGATTTTCAACTCCAAGCTCAAATTCAAGTCCAAAACATGCCAAATCTCACCCAATACAACAAAATGACTTGAATCATAGGAAATTCCAAGCAATGGCACACAAGAACCCTAAGCACAAGCTCTAGATATGCATTTTCACAAGACAAATGCATCAACACTCACATTTCATAGCAAAACACAAGTAGAATCCAAGAAATCACATATAGGCAAGCAAAATAGGTTTTGTAGAGCATGGGTTACCTCTTGTAGACTAAAAGACTTCACTTTACACCTCAACAAGCTCCTCACAAGGCTCACTTTCCAAACCCACTTCAAGAACAAACCAAAAGGTCATAAAGATCCTACCTTTAAGAAAAGACATCTAAGATGGAACCAAAAACACAAGATAGACTTAGATCTTACCCTCCTAGGTGCCCAAATAGGTGAAAGGTTGAATCTTGGAAGTAACTCTTGAAGTCTTGGCAAGGTCTCAACTTAGCTTGGAGGAAAAGCTACTCACCTTTCTAGAGAGAAGGTAGAGCTAAATTTTAGAAAGTGTAAGGGGTAGAATGAAGATGTCTACTTGGTTATGTTACAATACTAACACTAGGTGAAAGGTCAAGAATGCCCTTACTAACATTAGAAAGTGTAAGGAACAAGGGAACTCTCTTCAAAGATCAAGGTACAACTTGACTTTGGAGTTGACTAGTCAAATACTAGTCCTCAAGTATTAAATTTCAAGATTTTAGGAAATAATTCCTCAATTGAAATAGGATTAATTACTCAATTAATCCATGAATTGAATTTGGATTTTTGGGGTGTCACAAGAGGGGTCGAGGAACGTGCTGACTGCGTCTGATATGATTGCCCAACTAGTTAAACTGGTAACTAAAAGACCATCGGGGTCGTTACCAAGTACGACGGAGAATAACCCAAAGGAGCGAGTGAATGATATATCAATTTGTCAGGAATCTGAATCCGATATGGTTGTCATGGAAACACAAAGAACAATGCAAGGACACAAAGGAAAAGAAGTCATGAGATCAGATGTCAAGACAGATACAAAAAACACTGCAAAGACGGTGACGTCTCGTTATCGCCCGCAAGCCTTAAAACAGATGGTAAATATGGCTAAACTTGAACAACAAGGTAAATTTAATGCTTTGCTTAGGAAATTGTATGTTATCATGCCTCTGATAAACACACTGAAAAACCTACCTAGATCAACTTGCAAAAAGAAAGAACATGTTCTACAAAAGAAAGAGATTCATGAGGAATCTCATGCCCACCTCAGTGTGGCGTGTTCTGATGTTCTGGAAAAGGGGTGCCACAAAAAGGATGGTGACCCCGGCGTGTTTGTAGTGCCATGTGCTATCAATGACACATTCATTGGAGATGCACCAGCCGATCTAGGCGCCTCTGTTAATGTTATGCCCTCGTGTGTGTCCGAAAAGTTGAACGTGCCTTTGACACCGACCCGTATGACCATCCAACTTGCCGATGGTACCACGCGCTATCCATTGGGCAGAGGATGTGCCGGTCAAAGTTAAAAACTCTTTTATTCCTGTGGACTTTGTCGTATTGAATGTAGGACCAGAATTGAAAAATGTGCCATTAATATTTGGAAGACCGTTCTTGGCAGCACAACAAGCCGTTATTGACGTGAGCGTCGATAATCTTACCTTGCGCCTCAATGATGAAGAAACCAAGTTCGGCAAGGACGTCAGAAAAGGTAAACAAAAGAAAATGACGAAGTCTAAGAAGAAATCAAAAGGAAAAATCGGTTGTGCAGGTAAATTAGGAAAACTAGTCTGAAGAAGAAAAGAAAGATGTGTGCAGGCAACCAATCCAGGTTGAAAAATAGGGTACGTCGGGCTGAGACGTTAAAAGAAGCGCTGCTTGGGAGGCAACCCAAGGTTTTATTTACATTGCGTTTTAATTTTCGAGCATTTAATTTTTGAATAAAGTTCTTTGTTTTTGAGAACTAACTATACAGGGATCGCAAGTTTATTCCAAGAAGAATTCAAGAAAAAAATTGGACACGAAGGCCGAACCGAAGAAGACCCGTGGCCACGCGTGAAAAAAGGCGCGAATGGGGATTTAAAACCCCATTCACGCGCCTGATCACGTCGTGACCACGGCGTGAATAGGGAAGGGCGGTGAAACATTAAAACCCATTCACGCCCACTATCACGGCGTGAATAGGAGTGCGAAAGTGGTAAAACCCTACGTAAGTTTCGATCTCCCTTTTTCATCCAATGCCTTCTTCACCCTAGTCTCTCATGTCTTGGTCCCTACTCTTACAAATCAGAATTTTTCCATGCAAATTTAACTCTTCTACTCTTTTCAACTTTGTGAGCACTACTTCAAAGATACTCTAGCTACACCCAAAGGTAACATTTATTTTCCCTTCTTTGTTAATATTTCAATTTTTAGTTTTCCTTATTTCAAATATGGTATGAAAATATTGTATCTTTAGATATGTTTGCATATACAAATGCTAGAACACCCTCATAGCTATTTGATGAACACTTTGTTGATAAGTGTTCTATCTTTGCCACTTTGCATTGTGGAAACCTTCATTAAAAGCTTTTCTACGCTAGCATGTATGCTATGCAATCTGGGTTTGCTTGAATTTGTATTGAATGTTAAAATTGTTTATTGAAATATGCAATTGGATGATAAATTGATGCTTATATGATTTTCATTTGATTTTTGAACATCCGTTTTGCGTAATTCTAAATTCAAGTATGCATGAATGTAGGATATGTCTTATTGACCATTTATTTGGTAATAATTTGCCTATGATTCTTGTATTAGACCCATGATTATTAAAAGCTTTGTCATATGTGGTTGTCAAACAATGTGTGGTAGATTTATAAAGTGTGGAAGACTAAAATATGAAAAATGCTTATTTGCTAGAACTTGCTTAACAAAGAGGACGTTTTGAATGCATATGTTAAATGATTTTAATGTGTTGAGAAAAACGAGAATGAGTAGTTTGAAATGTATTTGCTCGAGACTTGAAGAGTTTGCATGAAAGTTATGCTAGTAAATGTTGATTTATCATTTGACAAACTTGAGCTAAATAGGGACAATAAACTGTGCACATGTGGAACAATTATTTAAAATGAAAAATATCTTTGACTATTGATGAAAACATCTTGTTAACTTGTGAACTAAACTGCGATTGATTCTATAGGAAGCAACAAGATGGTTCTACCAAACAATGAAGGAGAGGAAGTCGAGGTAACATTAAAAAGATAGCCTACACCAAATGCATCAGATTCAGAAAGTGATACCTCGGAGGATACAAGAGAAGAGTTCATCTTTGGTGGATATAGCTTATATCTAGACATAGTCCAGCGTTTTGGTTGTGAGAGATCCGTCGAGAGGTTGATGAGTCACCCACAGTGGGCTGAAGTGTTCAGCTGGAGGGGGGTGACAGGGTCGCCAGTTGTGTAGGAGTTCATTTCTTCCCTCGAGTTCATCGATAGGGTAGAAAATGACAATAGGATATCCATTAGCTTCTCTCCGTTCGGACAGACCTATCACTTTTCAACCAACCAACTAGCTAGATGTCTAGGATTATCAAGCCCGGAGGGGTTACTGGATGAGTTCCCGTCGGAGTTAGAGGAACTATGCTTTTTGAATTCGCACAATAGGTCGCAAGGATTTCAAAGACTGAGGAATGTCTTTTGTCATCATTTGGCAAGAGATGACTTTAGGATCATAAGAAGGCTGTTAAGCCATAATTTGGGTAAACCGGAGGCTGAAAGGGATACAGTGACAAAGGAGGACCTGTTCTATCTATGGAGCATGGAAACAAGTGTAAAGATAAACATGGGAAAAGTGTGCAAGAAGTGGTTACAGGAACAACAAAAACACCAAGAAGAAATAGTTTTCATAGGACCACTGTTAGCTAGATTGTGCTAGGGTCTGAAGTTAGAGAAGACATACTTGGAAGATGATATCTGGCCAGAGTCAGCTTGTTCCCAAAGTCTGAGATCGAGGCCATGAGCATTAGGTCGACACCTAGGATTAGGCTAGATGCTAGGCCCATGCCACATAGACCTACCCCCATTGACCTCCATAGTAGCGCGCAGGCAGCATCAGAAAGTAACCCAAACCTTCTGGATGTCCCAGACCATTTGCCTCAGGTAACAGATTGGGAGTCTCTAAGCTCCTTCATCTACCACATGCACAAAGAGACAGTGAGCGCAGTACTAGAAGCCATCCGGGGTCGACAGGACCCGGATGACGTTTTGTAACACCCCGTGTTACGGCCTTCAATCCCGGACTAATTATTTAATTAATCCCGTTATTAATAATTAAATATGATTTAATTATGTTAGGTTCACCTTTAATTAATTAGTAAGGTCCACCATGAACCGTGGACCCTTGCCCGAATAAGAGTCTTAAGCCTGTTAGGAATAATGGAAGTAGGCCTTTTACTATTCAGATTATGATTAGGATCCTCTTTAATTAATATGGTCCACTATGGACCGTGGACCATTATCCCTAAAACAAACCCTAGCCCTATAAGGAATAGAATTAGTAAACGCATACCATTCAGGCCCTAACTAGGAGTCTTAAATATATAAATAGGGAACTTAGGAGGCACCTAGAATCCCCACCACAATAATCTCTCACCACCCAAAGAGACCCAAGAATTCCCCTAGGAGAAATCAAGAAATCAAGAAAGCTTAAAGAAAGATCCTTCATAGCCAAGGAATTAATTAAGGCTAAGAGGTAACCCATGTCTCAACAAAACCTATTTTCATAGTTATGATTCCCCCTTAGGGTTTCCCCCATATTATTGTGAATGGCGAGATCTGTTGATTATTATTGACGCTTGACGTGATGATCCCATGAGGGATCTTGATAATCTTGATATTGGGAGATTCTTGATAATTATGGTGTTCTTGATGATTATATGGAATTCTTGATGATTATGTGTTGTTCTTGATAATTGTGTGATGTTCTTGATGCTTATGTGTTATCCTTACCGAATCTTGCAATTAGAAGGCGAATCGTATTCATGTTGACATAAAAGTGATTAGAACCCTAGGTTGTATCGTATGTTATGATTCTTGGATTGTGGGGTGGGGAAATCGCATGTTTGGGTGTTGATTATGTCTAGAAAAGCATGATAGGTTATGTGTTGTTCGTTTCTCGTATTTGATCCGTTAATTGTCTACGTGTTGTCGTTAATTGCATTGTAAGGTGTCTAAGCATGGTTTCGGGTTCCACAATGGTTCCCGGGGCGCAAAAGTGATGAAAAGAGTCAGTGGGGGGTAGGTGGGGGGGTAGGGGACCCGCCACCTACCCGCCGTGAAACACCGCCCGGCAGCGGGTAGCCGGGGGGTGGGCAGCTGCCCGGAACAGTACTTTTCGACGGGCAGCCGGCGGGTGGCCCCCCACCCACCGGCTACCCGCTGGAAATTCCCCCACCTTGGGTTCCCGGCTTCCCCGTTTGATGTTCCCCTGTTCCCCGTGGTGTCCCAACGGACTCCGTTTATCGTGCCTATGTCTAGTTTGATATTTCGGGTACCATTCGTAGGTTTACGAGTCTATTATATTGCATGCTAGTTGAATTGGTATCCTGTTAACCTAGGTGGAAGGAGTATGAACCCCTTAGGACTATTCTTAGTATGTGATGCGTCACGCATAGGTTTTGTTATACGTTTTCTCCCCCTTCCCAATGTGTAATGTGGGTTGCATGTGCTTGCTATGTGTTATGTGTGTGTGTTACCCCAATTCGGTTGCGATCGGATTGGTTATCCTGAGCTGCGGTTCAGAAGCTGGCTGCGGTCAGATTGATACTCTTGGGCTGCGGTCCACCGTTTGGTTGCGATCAAACGTTTCTATATGAGCTGCGGTTCATCCTTTTTCCTGGCTGCGGTCAGATGACATTCTCTTGGGCTGCGGTCCACTGTTTGGTTGCGATCAAACACTATGATGAGCTGCGGTTCATCGGTCGGTTGCGATCGACCCCTCCGTATTGCGATACGGGGCAGGGTGCTGCGGGGCCGTGTTAGAGCTATATGCGCTGACCCTCATGTATGGGCATGCGATTGGTCCTGTGGCGCCAACAAAGTGTGCTATGTGTTGAGATATGGATGAGTTGTGACTACAAGTATCTTGGGGGATGTGACTATGGGATTTATGCTGGGGATTGTTTATGTTGGGTTATGATTATTAATTGTGCTCAGCTTTATCTGTCTTGCCTGTTGTGGATTGTATACGCTTGTTATAACTGTTGCTTGTGTCTAGCCTTATCTGTCGAGTCATTCCCGGTTTTAAAAGCTAGAGTTCGTAGGATATATCTTCATGCTCAAAATGGTTTTCGTATATCTATATATATCTCTATATGTATTGTATTTCAACGCGTTGGAGTGGGTTACCAGCATCTCTCGCTGAACAGATATATTTGGCTTTCAGGCACAGACGAGTAGTTCACTGGAGCGCGCTAGAAGCTTGGACGTAGTTTAGATAGTTTTTCCCTTTCGGCCTGCGTGCCATGATTTAGTACTGATGCTATTTGAGGATATTAGTCAGTTATCCTGTGCACCTGAGTTCTCTAGCTTAGGTTTGGCATAGCACCCCGAACGCTTGTATTATATCTTGGGATTTAATAAGATTCTACCTTTATTATAAGTTTTCAATATCCTGAAAATCTGGGGTGTTACGATTGGTATCAGAGCCTAAGTTTGACCCTAGGATAAGACTCTTAAGACCGGACTTTAGGACACTAGGCTTGAACTCTAGGTACTTAGGAACATAGGATTCAGGAATCTTAGGACGCGCAGTGAGATTGTGAAACCTACACATAACCTCCCCTCACTTCATCCCTCTCTAACTTAAAGGAACCTCCCCCTTCGCTTACCACACCAGGTAAGGGTGCGAATAGATAAGTTTACTTCCACAACTGGGTAACATACACTTACCCGATAAATCGCCTCATCCTAACTCCCGTCAAAAGACTTCACAAGGACCATGACCAAAGAAAAGGAAGATTTGGAAGAGGCGGTGAAAAGACGTTGCATCAAGACGTCAGGACTACTAAAAGGAACGGACTGCAATACTCACCAACCCAGGGTTAACCACGATAACCCCCGATTCAGACAAATGGCATGCACCTTCCGACAAGTTGCTTTTATCTCGGCAAACCCGGGTTGCGGCTACAACAAACAGGAAGGAGAACTAGGACACCGATTAAAGTAGCGAATGAACGACACCATTAGTCGAATCCTTGGGCGCAAGGTAAGTATATCGCGACACCTTGCGACCCCACCACCCCAGTTTAAAATATCATCCGCCCTGAAACCCCAGCATCTTGATACCCCTATTTGTTGAAAACTCCCACCCCGAATCCTTAATTACCTTAAGAGCAAATTCACAACCGTCATGACCTTGCTCTCCCTTTGTTGCGCCTAACCCAAACCCTCGGAAACCCTAAATTGTTATGAGCATTGGAATCATCGCCCTTACTCTAAGTTCATATCCCCACTCCGTTTAGAAACCCTGTTAAAAACCGTAGAGCAGCATAAAGCCCTTACCCTGCCCAGGGGCGTGAAGAACCAACATTCATCGATTCAATATTAAAATAAGTTGTTAGATAGGAATCGGCGAAGTAGGTGGAAGTTACAAATACGTATCATCCCACCCTTGCACGAAAACCGTGAAGGCTTTACGAGAAACCATAGCCGGTACATACGCCACCGAAGAACGCCATGCGTTGACAAGAGCGGGCAAACAAATACGTTCAATGTGTCAGGGGCCCTCGCTACAGAAAACATCGTCAAATAGGTGCAACAGGCTGAACCTCAAGGAGGACATAAAGCCTTGCTAAGAATTTCATCCACCAAGGAAGGGATGAAACCCAATAGAACGAGAAAGACTAACCCGAAACCCCCCTTGACCCTTAAGAACCCTCGGCAAGGATTAGGAGTCAAGACCTAGGGATTTGACCCACTAACCGACTGGGTCCAGACTTCTGGACATCCGAGGGGAACGTACACGGAAACCATCACGAGAATTCCCCTGGAAGCCATAGAGACGAAGGGGACTTCGACACGGGAAGAGAAGATCAAACGAAAATCTTAGAATCAAACGAGGCCAAGGAAAAGGGATCACCAGTTCGACTGTACGCCACAACCAAGCCCCAAACAGGCATAATACTCGAAGCCAAGAGTCCTTAGCCCCTTTCCATCCCCTTGCCAATCAAGTACCATTTCGTTAAAGAATCCGTCCTACCACTCCAA